ATTCGTCCCTCCCTAGATCTAGATCCATATTCTGAACTCTTTTATCGATAAAAGTGCCTTGAATATAGCCAATCAGGTGGCTTTTAAGCCTTTTTTAGAAGCACTTTTATCATATATGTAATACTACTATATTGCTAAATGCTCTATCGAAGAATTCACACCGCGTTCGATGTCCGATGTACGACGTTCGATATCCAATAAGGAAACAGCTTTCCAATGGAGAATTGAATTCTCTATTAGAAAGCTGTTCTCTTATTGGATATCGGACGTCGTGCGTCGGACATCGGACGCGGTGTGAATCCTCCATATGCTGCTTGTAAGAAGAGCTTATCCCAGAATAGAAAGACAGACGATGTTCGAGGAGTGTATTTTGATCGTAGTGTGCAAGTGCGGCGATCAGATGATATTATATATACAGGGTGTCCCGAAGTCCCATGATGACCCTTGGTGAGAACGTAGAACGGATTGAGGTGAGCAAGAAAGTCCTGTGCCGTTTTGCGATATTCGCAATAGTTTTTGAGAAATTAATTATTTTGTCTCAACAAATCAGCGTACAGAAAGCGGCAGCGGAAAGAAAGATGCCTTCGGCCGACGTGCGACCGTGACACTCGCGAATCGTATCTCGCCGCATCCCTCCGCCCATAGCTACGAGACATAGCGAGTCTATGTCTTGTAGCTATGGGCGGAGGGATGCGGCGAGATACGATTCGCGAGTGTCGCGGTCGCACGTCGGCCGAAGGCATCTTTCTTTCCGCTGCCGCTTTCTGTACGCTGATTTGTTGAGACAAAATAATTAATTTCTCAAAAACTATTGCGAATATCGCAAAACGGCACAGGACTTTCTTGCTCACCTCAATCCGTTCTACGTTCTCACCAAGGGTCATCATGGGACTTCGGGACACCCTGTATATATATATACTACTGTGTCCAAAAAGTAAGACCAGTTTTTATTTATTTCAAAAAATATTTATTTATTCCAAATCTATTTCGTCGTCTTCAAAGTAATCTCCTCCCGATACAATACACTTATGCCAACGTATTTTCCAGTCTTTGAAACAAGAATTAAAGTCGCCTTCCGGGATGGCTTTCAGAGCGCGTAGCGATTCACGTTGTATCTCTTCTATCGTCTCAAAACGATTTCTCCGCAGTGGTCTTTTGAGTTTCGGGAATAGCCAGAAGTCACACG